ATATGGCCTGCATGATCTAAATCTAAGAAATCCACTGAACCTATATACATTTCAGTTTGATCTGGGTCTTACTAAATTGCATACTTAAGGTAATGTTTACAGTAGTGCTACTTCTGAGGCTCTATAATAAATACTGAGCAGAGGTCCACTAATATTACCTTAGCTTGCAAACCAGCCTTGAGTGCCCACACCCCCTTGTGACACCCCTTCCCCTCACCCTGGTCCTCTGGCATGCAGAGTGTGCGTGAAGGACAGGTAAGAAACACAGGGGGAAACTTCGACTTCTTTTTACCTTCTCCAAAGCACAAAGAATGTGAAAGATCATGGAAGGGAATGTGTGCTCTTTGGCATGCTTCTTATGACACAATCCATGGGGATTTAACCCTAGTAAGCCAATTTGTGGATACTTCCTAGTCAATCAGTCTAGCAATATTCAAAATCAACATGCACAAGCATAGGGGAACAGATTTAATACTCATTTTCTTTAATGTAGGCCAGCAAACCCAGGCCAGCAAAACATCCACCCTGAAAGTGCAAATGCCTTTTTGTTCAAATTACTACAAACACCTACATTTTTTAGAATATGTGGTTAAACAACATATGGTATACTGATACCAAGTGCTAAGAAGCTAGATAAATACAAGGTAATGTCTAAATTATACTGAAAGATGATTGTGAAAATACCACCTCTGAAAATATAGGTCAAAATTGCACCTGTACTACCCAGGGAAATTGATACTAGAGCACCTGAATCTCTGACATTGTTTTAAGTTATATTAAATCATATTTCATCCAAGCTCTCTGAAGAGCTGCACTCAGATACAGGGTGATCTGTAGCTACAGGGTGTATATGTTAAGAATTTCTGTGATCATGCAAAAATCAACCATGTCTAAAAAGGATGCATCAAGAACTAGGCCTACCTGATCAAGAATTCTGCCCATTCTATCAAACAAAATTTTCAGGAAATGTCCTTCAAAGAACGACGCTTCTAAATTGCACTTTTCCAAAGGTTTAGGAGAGCCTGGCCATTCCCATCGTAAGCATATGGCGCAGTAATCCCGGAACTAGAAAAAGCAAAAAATTAATCAACAGCTCATTTATGAAGCTAATTTTAACAGGCAGTTATAATAAACAAAGGCAATTATTTGCTTTTGTCTGTTAGGCATGATGAGCAATCAGTCATTCCCAATGACACAAAATGGAGTTTTGTAGGGTTTTTCCCTCCCTAAACAGCTTTCTTTTGAGAAAGATTTGTGGGGCTGTATCTTTCACGGCCTTCATCTTCCACAACTGGACACCTTAACTTTAAAACAAAAAAGCACTTTACACCAGTTACTTCATTATTTTTCCTACATGGAAAAAACCCCTCCCAGCCACACAACTATGTACTGAAAGAACAAAAATGCATATTTTACTATTTTACATGTGTTCATTGCACACCACCTTCTGAACACATGAGGAGGAAAACCATACTTTGTTTTCTTACACAAAGGTTAATATCTGTGTAAAAAACCCAGTATGCATGAAGTAACTTTTCTTCAAAGTTTGTATATAATCATACTCCTCTGGTCATCTACACAGGTGCAGATGGCATCAATGAACAGTGCCGTCACCCTTCCCAAGTGAAAAGGATTAAAGGCCCAAATGTAACTGAAGGACCTTAGATTTGTGCCCCTCCCCCCCACATTATATCCTAACAGCAGTAGCCCCAAATAGTAGATTATGCTGAAAGAGAGTAAATTATTGCAGCACTCATTAGCTTCAGGGCTAAATAGAGAGTCAAACCCAGATCACCCTAGTCAAATCCTTAACTCTGTAACCACCGAAAACTGTTTCTGGCATGGAGTGGATTCACACCTGCCCAGACTTTTCAATATAAACATCTCTCAAAGGCTATCATCCTTCACTACAGTACGAAGGCATTTGTCCAGTTGGTACAAGCATACAAAGGTGAGAAACAGGTATGGTAAAGCCATTGGATGCAATCATAGCCATAAGATTTGACTGTGAATGTAATGTACTAAAAGAGCCAGTGTATATAATATTCTATTCTTCTGGTGCCCACTTTCTTCCTTCTTTCAAGGTAACCACCCTCAGAAAACTGAATGCTATTTTCTGCTCTCAGGTTTAGAGTTGTATGGATATTTTTGTGACTCTTTCTTCACCCCATTTTCTGCATATTTAGGAAGGTTGGAGAGAACAAAAAACAGCAAAACTCAGAGCATAAAGGAAATCCTTTCTACTTGACTGGATAACCTATTGCATTTGTTACTGAGAGCACAACATTTTGAAAATTATCATTCCATGCATCAATGTAACTCTTATCCTGCTCCCCAAACCACTTCTTGTTCTACTGCATATGCTCAGAGCAATTTAGCAGTCTGCAAGTGAATCACAGGGCTGCAATCAAGTGCAGTTTGTCCTCAGACCACAGAGATTAGAAGTTTTTAAAAAAGAACTGAGTACTGATGTTACAAAATAAGAACATTAAAGTTCTCTTTTCTCATGATTATTACACACTTAAAAACTGCCTGCCTGAGGCTGCCCATTACTTGTAGTGAATCTTTAACACAGCTATGGCTTCAAAAATAACTTGCGTAGCATTTCCTCAGTGACTTGCCTCTGTCAAAGACATTGCCATGAAAGGATAATGCAGATAAATACAAAGGCAAATTTGAGAACCATTGTGTAGTGCAGTGTAGTGGATTCTTAGGATTATTTTATTTGCCTCATTGCACCTATAGCCTCTTCTAAACACAGAAAATAGCACAAGTAATTCCATTAGTAGTTTGGTGAGCCAACAGGGTGCAATGAGTTAGGGTGCTGAATCTGGACTGGGGAAACCAAGGTTCACAGTCCCACTCAGCTATGAAACTCCCTGAACAGCTGTGGGCCAATCACCCTCCCTCAACCCCATCTATTTGACTGAACTGCTCTGAGAGTAAAGTGAAGTAAAGGAAGAACCATGTACACCATCCTGAGCTTCCTGGAAAAGAACAAATTTTGAGTCACGTGGCACTTTTAAGACCAACAAAGGTGTATTCAAGGTATGAGCTGTTGTGTGCATGCACACTTTTTCAAACAGAAAAAAGTGCGCATGCACATGAAGCTCATACCTTGAATACACCATTGTTGGTCTTAAAGGTGTCACTTGACTCAAAATTTGTTCTTCTGCTTCAGATCAACACGTTGCCCACCTGGATCTTCCTGGATAAGTGACAGGATAAAAATGTGACAGAGTAAGGTTTTGTGAGGTGAAATGTATTTATTTCCTATGAACTGTATTCTTAGGTTCCCCCATGGCTTAGCAACATGTGCGTATTATTTGTATTTATGTATTCAGAATATTTATAAAACCCGACCTTTCTCTTGCCACACTCAGCACATCAGAAGACATTGTAAGACAGAATGCTCACCTCCCCACAAATATCTGTACATTTCTATCAATACCTTAATTTTATACTATGATCTTTATAATACCGTATGCCACTGGTGTTAGCAGAGTTACAGCTTTCAACTCATATGTGGAGCAAAATGCAGAGCTGTTGTGATTTGTTTTCTAGAACTCAAGACAGAATCAGCCTAGACCAGAGATGTCGAACTCATTTGTTATGAGGGCCAGATCTGACACAAATGTCACTTTGTCAGGCCGGGCCATGTGTGTCATAAAACGTAATGCCAGGTACTGGAAATATAAGCTGCATAAAGGACAGCAGCTGGTAAGCTCTACATTGTTGTATCCTCACTATAAGGCCCCATGGGCTGGCGGCTGTGCAAAGGAAAACCCATATGGGCGGAATGGAGAGCCAGCGGTGCAACACGGAGCAGACGATCCTACGCTGCTTGACTGCTGCAGACGAGGTTGTTCCACCATGCCAAAGCCACAATTGGAGGGCCTCTGCCCATTTCCCCCAAGCAGTCTCCTGTCCCCCCCCCTTGCACTGGTTGCTTGCGGGCCACATAAGAGCCCTGAATGGGCCGGTTCTCTCCCCCCCCCGGCTTTATGTTTGACACCCCTGGCCTAGACCAACTCCTTTTAGAGAAAATGAAAGTTTAGAAAATTAAATAGGCAGACAGCTGGATCTAAACTTCAGTAAACTTTCATGCAAACCAGAGAACTTAAAACACTGAGCTGGGATGTCTTTGAAGATGATGGACGAAATGTCTTTGAAAAAGGATGGGCTTAACAGCAAATGAATACAGCTGAGAAAAGGGAAACTAAATCAGCATTTGAGTAACCTTGCCTGGCACTCTTTCTCAAAGGCCACTCCTTCAATCACCAACCATTCTGTTTTTGTCACTTACTTGTCGATGAGCATCTCTGAGGTAGGTATCATAACCTGTGCCCTCCACATGGTAGGAAGATTTGGCTTCATCTGGTACTAGGCAGAGAAAACTGAAAAGAGAAACAAGAAACTAGTCAATTTCATTTGCTTTTTAATCATGAGAACAATGGGTATGTCAAACATTATTAAGCCCCTGCAGTCATCCATACTACTGTGTGCAATGAAGACAGATGAAGAAATCAGCAGAGGCATTTCTGTCAGTCTGGCTACTGAGATTTTACACTGCAAGAAATGAATGCTGCCTTACTGTTGACCTAAAGCATCTTCAATCGTCAGATTAACTTCACAGTAGCAGCACACACTAAGGGGTGAAAAATGTCCATGAAGAGTTATGCCATATATAACGCCATATAGAATGTAGGATAGTTTCCTTTAAAGACATGCTTACCATTTTTGTACTTCAAAGAAGTAATGGATCCCAACCACTTGATCTCCTTTCTCCTGTTAATGCTTAGTTACCACTATAGATCCCTCTGTTAGTTTATTTGACTTTCTCTGAAGGGCAAGTGCACGGTTCATGTGAGGTTCTGGTGTGTTGCTCCCAGTAGGAAGGATCCAGTAACTCAGTTCCTGCACCAGTGCACTGCAAGTCTTGGAGTATGAACTCTTGAGACCAATGACACCACCACCTCGACTGCGGTATTACCCCTGCCACTTGACTAAGCATGTGGTCATTTGCCTGCCCTGGACTGTGGCAACCACTACTAGTTCCAGGGAAAGAAAGTTGCCCTCGGCCTTGGCTGATTGGGGCCAGACTCTCCTACATGACCAAGACAGGCAGGCCTGATTTAGTCATGACAAGTGGGGACCCGTGAGGAACTTATGGGGAGGGGCATTTCCTCTGCCTTTCCTTCCTTCACCCCACCTCATCTTTGCTCCTCTACCTACTGACCTACCCATCCTCGGTGCCACCTCCCCATGCCTTTCCTGACTCTGCTCTTGCCCCCATCCCCCAGATCTTCATTGCTATGCCTACCCCACCTGCTTACTTGGCACCACCTCTTCCTGTCTTTCTCCCTCTCTCCCAGTACTCCATCCTTGCTGCTGTACCCCCCACCCGTACCATTCTGCCTTCCCACCCACCCACACCCGTCCCCAGTACTCTGACTGCTCCCCCCATCCCAGTGGAAGGTGGACAGGCCTCCTTGCTTATCTCTGACCATGGCTGGGCCAGAGAATGGAGAGCCATGCCGAGCCTGGGGACTGCAGCAGCAATTCTGGAAGCTGTGCCAGGCCCAGATGGAAGTTTGTTGGGCCAGGGGGCAGCAACAACAGGGCTGCCGTGGTGAGCCACAATAGGCCTGAAGGTGGCAATGATGGGGGTGAGTTGGAAAGGTGGGGGGCCATGGTGGTGACACCAGGAGCTGCAACAGCCACGGTGGCAATGTCAGGAATTGTGCTGGGACTGGGCAGGCAGACTCAAGTCTGGACAAGGGGGACCCAATAGATATTGTTTACCTTGACTTCCAGAAAGCTTTTGATAAAGTTCCTCATCAAAGGCTCCTAAGTAAGCTCAAAAATCATGGGATAAAAGGACAAGTCCTTTTGTGGATCAAAACCTAGCTAATAGGAAACAGAGAGTGAGTATAAATGGGCAATTTTCTCAGTGGAGGGAGGTAAGCAGTGGGGTACCGCAGGGATCAGTACTTGGTCCACTGCTTTTTAACTTGTTCATTAATGATTTGGAGTTGGGAGTAAACAGTGAAGTGGCTAAATTTGCAGATGATACAAAGTTGTTCAGGGTGGTGAAAACCAGGGAGGATTGTGAGGCACTCCAAAGGGATCTGTCAAGGATGGGCAAGTGGGCGTCAACATGGCAAATGGGGTTCAATGTGGCTAAGTGCAAGGTGATGCACATTGGAGCCAAATATCCTAAATATAAATACACATTGATGGGGTCTGAACTGGCAGAGACTGAACAAGAGAGAAATCTTGGGAGTTGTAGTAAATAACTCACTGAAAATGTCGAGACAGTGTGTGACTGCAATAAAAAAGGCCAATGCTATGCTGGGGATTATTAGGAAGGGTATTGAAAACACATCAGCCAATATCATAATGCCCCTATATAAATCAATGGTGAGACCTCATTTGGAATACTGTGTGCAGTTCTGGGCACCACACCTTAAAAAGGATATTATAGCTTTGGAAAAAGTGCAGAAAAGAGCAACTCGAATGATAAAAGGGTTGGAACACTTTCCCTATGAGGAAAGGTTAAAGCGCTTAGGGCTCTTTAGCTTGGAGAAAAGACGACTGAGGGGTGACATGATCGAGGTTTATAAGATTATGCATGGGAAAGAGCAGGTAAAGAAAGAGGTACTTTTCTCCCTTTCTCACAATACAAGAACCCGTGGGCACTCCATGAAATTGCTGAGCGGTCGGGTTAGAACGGATAAAAGGAAGTACTTCTTCACCCAAAGAGTGATTAACACATGGAATTCACTGCCACAGGAAGTGGTGGGTGCTACAAGCATGGACGGCTTCAAAAGGGAATTAGATAAGCATATGGAGCAGAGGTCCATCAGTGGCTATTAGCCACAAGGTATAGATAGGGACTCTGGGGCAAGTGATGCTCTGTCTTCTTGGTGCTTGGGGGGGGGTCAACAGTGGGAGGGCTTCTAATGTTCTGGCCCCACTGGTGGACCTCCTGATAGCACCTGGTATTTTTGGCCACTGTGTGACACAGAGTGTTGGACTGGATGGGTCTTTGGCCTGATCCAACATTGGCGTCTCTTATGTTCTTATGTTAAGTCTGGAGCAATAACAATGGCTCCTACCCTGACCAGGTAATGGCTTCTCATACCTGCCCTCCCATCCTCCCCATCTCAATGAGCAGCCTCCCCAACCAGCCCACATGACTGAAGTGCTGTTGCCTGCCTACAGCCTTCCCCTCACCCGTCCACCAGACGAACATTTTCTGCACACGTGCAGACAATGCTCCTGTGTTTTGGGACATTTACCCCCCTCCATTTTTCCCCAGGTTTTCAGATTTTACTGCAAACCTGAGGGGGTCCCACAAGTTTGTAGACTAATCTTCCTAATGTGTAAATGGACCCGATCTACATATTTAAGTATCCACAGATGGGCCCACTCTTCACTATTAGATATAAGACGCTGCCAAAGCAAAAGAACTTACCCATGGAACACTACACTCACACAGCATCTTGTTGAACCTGGCCTGCTACCCATGCAAAGCTGCTACGAGTGGTTAACCAACATTCCATCACAACTACTGTCTGGGTTATGTGCCTTTGACATGCTGATTATAGCAACAAAGAGGTGCTTAGTACTGGCTCCAGCCTAGTTTATACAAGATGCAGAGTCCCATGGGCCTTATCTTGTCAGAATCATGTCTAAATCAGGCATTAACTGGTACAAAGGAAGGGTGTTCACTTGTGATTACTCAACTTAACTGTTTTCTTGCAGACAATTAGGTGCAGAAGACATACTACTCAGCTTTCTAAACACAGGCAAATGTACGTACTTTGTAAAATTTATTCTGATAGCAGAACTTGGATATTGTGGACAGAGAATGCATACAGCTTTAATTTTAGTGCTACAAACTTGTTATCTCCAAAAGAACATTTAAAGATAGAAACATAATTTCATATAATGAATGCATATTTTTCCACATGGATGTAACTGGCTAAAATATACCAGAACTTAGATTAGGTTAATATGGGTGGCAACAATTGAGAGAACAAGGGAAGGCCTTATTACAAATTCTCAGTAATTAGCCAGTATCGAGTATTCAACAAATCCAAGGAAAAAAATATCTCTTGGCAAATGTGCTATATCAAACAAATATAAAATCTATATTAAAAATTACTGCAATTTATATTTAAGTAGCTTATTATTTAGTACATTCGGTATTTAGTAAGCTGTTACAGTTTGCTATGGTTCAAGAGAAAAAACAGGGAAAAATGGGGAAAGCGTTAAAAAAAATCCTACCGAATTAACTAACCTGCTTGCCATTTACTTTTTCTTTGTTAATACTTATGGGGGGAGGGGGGTATTGAGATGACTCGTTAAAGCCCTGCAAATGTTCAAATGATTAAAATCGATGTAAAAAGAGCATAACAATAACAAAAGTATTTTTACAATACAACACTGAGTTGTAACTCAACGCTGAGTTGTAAAAAACACAAGTTTTAATAGAGTAATAATGCAAGTAAAACATGGCTTGCATTTTTAAACTTGAGTTTGCCTTAGACAACTAAGAATTCTACCCACTCAGTGACCAAAGAACATTAGAGCCAAAATTTGTCACATGGAACTTATTATGTACAAAAATGAGTAACTGTGCCGTTAAAAATACAATTAGCCATTTTAGGAACTACTCGTTTCTTATTTGGGTTAACAGTGTATGGGAACTATGATTACTGAGTTCCATACATCCATGTTAAGCAACTGATGATCCTCAGTCAAAGTCTATTTGTGCAGATAAGCATCACTTGGCTTAACATCATTATTTTTGCTTCACATCTGGATTTTGCTAAACTGCTATTGTTTCCATGGATGTGAAGGGTTTTTTTGTTTTTTTTGTGTTTTTGCTTAATATGATGACTGATGTAGAATCCTGAAAACACCAGCTTTCAAGTTTCTAATCCACATGATTGTGAATATATTTTGAAAATGTGTGGGCAGGCAGCATTTGTAAAGGTTGCAGACTACAAGCAGAAGAACACTTTCCTGGGAATAAGTTCCATTGAATAAAATGGGATTTCCTTCTCCGATGACCTGCTTAGGATTGCTTTCTTTCACTTAATATAGTCTTAAATTTCTTCCTTTTTTCTTCTGCCACTATAAGACTGTAGAAAAATCTATGCATTTTATATACATTTTTCATTCTGATGATTTTCTTGCCAACCCTTCCTATTTATTCGTACTCATTTACATGAGTTAATTATAGAGGTATCTAGATATCCCATGCTAATGTCTAATTTAGGTTTCTTATCTGGAAATACTGCAAAAATATAATTTACAATTGTGCCAACATTTACCCAGATTAATGAATACAGAATCTGGGTAAACAGTGTGTGGCCCGGGGGGGGGGGGGGATGCATGCAGTGATTATGTATGCACAGTGTAACTCTTAACCTGCTGCCTAGTTGAGAGGCTTATCTGTCCCACACAAACAAAAATTCTGTCTACAAAATTCAAATGAAACTTAAACTGATTTTTCTCTCAACTACTGTTGGAAAAGCACCACCACCTAGTGGTACTTGTCTTTTAGTTTTTTCTTTTCTCTTTGAGCTGTCTGTTTTGCTGTTTTAGTTGTGCATATTACACACTAGTATGCCTGTTCATACAGCCATTGCCTCATGATTATATAAATATAGGAACCTGTTGTAGGAATATGATGTAGGGTTATTGTTATGAATACAGGAATATTTTTTGAGTTTGGAAATCAGTTTGTCTTTAAGATTTCAGGTAGCAGCTAGGTTGGGTATTATGCCTTAGGAACTGTCTTTACATAATAATTTCTTTCCACACTACCCATTCATTCTTTGATTTCTCTCTTTGTCCACTCAGTCCCCCTTTCACACTTCCTCTCTCCCTCACTTCCAAACAGTGCCAATGGTCTTTCCTGTCCCACAAAATAGCAACCTCTACCATCTTTTGAAAAGCCAGAGACATATAACACCTGGGCTCCATCAGTCCTACAACCCTACTTTTTAATGGAGGGAAGTGGGGAGGAAGAATCATAGCACATCCAGAAGAATTAGGGAGGTTTTGTTAATGTACGTACCATAATTATTTATTTTAAAAAAAATTGTACTGATAAGTTCAACTCTTACCTATTTACAATTTTATGAACTTCTGTCTTCCCATCAGTTTTCAGATGTTCTGGGCTGGCAGGTGGAGAAGCACTAAGCCACTCTTGGTTTGACAGCATGGTATCAGGAGAAAGATCAGTAAATAATGGATCTTCTTCCAGGTCTCTAGAATTTGTTATGAAGCAAGGAAAGGAATGCTTTAGACTTGATTTTTCAAACACAGAACATTAACTGTTCTGATGGAAGACATTTAATCTTGGATCCAGAGAGCTGCTGCAAGAGCTTGTACTAATTCAGTGGGACATACGCCTTTTTGCCAAATCAAAACCTGTTTTAGAAAAGAGCCTCCAAAACAGTTTGCAGTGTGGTGCAGGCACTGCTGTGCAAGGAACAGAAAAACAAAGTTCCTCTCTGGGTTGGCAGGGTAGTCCCACTGTCCTTTGGGTCCTGCCCTAGTTTTACTAATTTACTAATTTAAGCATGTTCTGTGCATTGAAGATTGGCAGGCAGTACTACTAGTTAACATTAAGGTGGACTGGAGTTCATTAAGTACAAATTGATGGGTAGACAAATAAAGCAAGAAAGCATACTCTTGTGGGGGCTTATAAACTTCTGATCCATTAGAGAGAAAGTCTATGGTGCAGAATAATGTGCAAGATGATGGAGTTCTTAATGCTTGTCACAGCAAACCCCTAAAAGTAAATTAACAAACAGCATGGGTCTAAAATAAAGGCTTGTAGAACTTATTAGTTTAAATAAATCACAAATGGAAGAAGCAGGTTCAGTTGAATAAAATGTATGTTTAAGGTTCTCAGAAAGGAACCCAGAAAAATAACAATAAACCCTGCAAAAATTAAGGAATGCAAGTACCAAGGCACCTAGCCACATGTGTTAAACTGACTGAGATTAGACAATACACTATGAATGATGTAGGGACAAACAGCTGTATATACCCTCCCCAATCATTCAGAGTTTTCTTCCAGTGTTTTATTGCTCATAAACTGCTATATAATACTGGTTTATGTAAGAATTTTGTATAGTTTAACCAATAGGTTTATGTCTAGTTTCCAAATCATTTCAGTATATTAAGATTAACCTCCCTCCAAGATTGATAAGGAATACTTGTTTCTAAAGTAACAACTGGAAGACACTCCAAATAATGCAGAACTCTTCAATGACACAGAAGGGGGGGGAGGGGGGAAAACGTACACAGCTCCTGCTATCTGGCCATTCTCCACCACATCTTTATCTTCTTGGCAGGGTGGTTTATATTCTGTGTAGTTTCTTTCCTCTAAGTTTCTAAGAACCAAGTTATAAAGAATGTGCTCATCAGGTTTTTGCAAAAGGTGCTCAAACATTCTGAGTGTCATTATGCTGATCTGCAAGAGTATAAAAAATGGCATTGAAGACAGTGAACCAAGATCCTGCTTGACTGAACTCCACATACTGAACAATGTTCTATTTTTTTATTCTGTTTGTCATGCTGTTAACTTCTGATCACAGAAAAAGCCAGCAGATAAAAGACTCATCCCCTGAACAATCCATTTATATATTTTTCTTTGGTTCTTTGCAATCAATATACAGAAGAAGACTTCAGCAAATTGTGCCATCCTAAGCAAAGTTACACTAGGCTTCCCAAGTCCCCCCCCGGGGGGAGGAACCCCCACCCCAAAGGCCCGTTCCCCGCCAACGGCGGATCGGGCCCCAGGGGGACCCCCACCCCGGCATGTGCATCACCAGGAAGTGGCGTTATGACGCCGGGCACGCTGGGGGCGGGGCCACAGTCATCCAAGGGAAAACTCTATGGTTTTCCCTCGGATGGTTGTGGCCCCGCCCCCAGCGTGCCCGGCATCATAACGTCACTTCCTGGTGACGTGCGTGCGGCGCACGCTCCAGCCACAGACCGGGAGTCCCCCGGTAAGTGCGTTTTTCGACTTGGCAACCCTAAGTTACACCCTTCTAACAGACTTTCTGTAAGACTGCTTAGGATGGCACTGATAGTCCAGTCCCTGCCAGAGGTTGCACATGTGGGGAAATATAAAAGTTTGAGGTGATCAGATTAAAAATAAAACATAGAACAATACTCTAAAGATATACACCCATACAAACATCATGGCAGAGCATAAGGTTTAATTTCTGTTCTCTTAAATAATTATTATCTATCATTTCTCTAGTATTTCTAATGGATCAAAGCACCATACATTTATTCACCTCTGCAAAAACTGTATGGGACCAAGAAAGACTGGCTTGTTGCAAAAAATCATGGATTAGGGACCCATCAAACTACGGATGGGCCCAGGGACAAGGAAGTAGAGGAGCAAGTAAAGCTTGATTTCTTGACAGATGGAAGCTTTGCTTTTTATAATTTTGCCTTTCTCTGTCAGTCTGGTATGCAGAGGTTCTCAATGATTTCCCTACTCAGTGATTGTCTCACTCTTGGGAAATGCTGTCATCCATAAAAATGCAACTCAGGACTTCCAGGAACAAATTCAGCACTGTATTCAGTGAATCACTCTGCTTCAAAATGGATCTCCAATTTACTAGGGACAGAATGACCTAGAGGAAGGATCAGTGGACGCTATAATAATCTGACCTTACATAACGTTCAGTATCTTGTGACTTATTTTGTTTATGGGTATCAGATATCTGAAGATGAGATACCCAAATATGCTAAGTTTTTCAAAGTTGCTGAGCAACTGAAGGACTTACTTATTAATAAAGATCTAAAGATAGTTGTTTACTGATGTGATGACACTGATGATGGCATTTTGGAAAACACGACTTTGGACATGTTATAATACAACTTCTTACCTCATCTGAAATGTGATCGCAGTGTTCGATTAAACGATGTCGCAATGGATGCCTGTTGATGTCCATCAGTGTTTCTGGCTCCCTCTGTTCTCCAAGGATGAAGCAAACCATTTCATGCACTAAGACTTCTGAAGTGACTTGACGAACAATACGATGTAACAGCGCAGTTGATGTGAGAATCCCAATCTCTGAACTAAACACATGAAAGATATTAAGCAAATGTGGGGGAGCCCCATCTCTTTCTCATGGAAGAAGATTACTTACGTTTGCATTAGCTGGGGTTCCATGATGCCAACAAAAAAACGGTCTCGTATTGAGCTTGCCATGGCAATGGCTGTGGTCTGAAATAAAGAACACAGAGAAGTTGCCTTTCTGATTCAGAAAAGGGTATCCTAAACCCATTTTAAGGTAAAGGTAAAGGTTCCCTTGCTCGAAAGCCAGTCGAATCCAACTCTAGGGTTGCGGTACTCATCTCCGTTTCAAAACCGAAGAGCCAGCACTGTCCGAAGACGTTTCCGTGGTCATGTGGCCGGCATGACTAAACACCAAGGTGCACGGAACGCTGTTACCTTCCCACCGAAGTGGTACCTATTTATCTACTTGCAATTTCTTGCTTTCGAACTGCTAGGTTGGCAGGAGCTGGAACTAGAGACGGGAGTTCACTCCATCATGCGGCACCCGGGTCTTGAACTGCTGAACTACTGACCTTCCACAGCCTGAAGTTCAGCATCTTAACCATTTGAGCCACCGCAGCTCCTTAAACCCATTTTAGGTGGTACATAAACAATGATTAAAAAAAGGAATCTGAAACCTTCTGAGCTTCCTTGATGAGTTGATCACAGTAATCAAACCAGGAGAGAAATGAAATCAAGGCTCTTTTCCCTGGAAAAGCAGATGCATCTTCTTTGTGGCTGTATGAATCCAAGCTGAAAGGCAGCAAGAAAAAAATCAGTGAGCACATACACTTGGAGTTTGTCCTCATCACAAAACAATCAGAAGTAATCTGACTACAGTTCAAGATACTGCTTGTGTTACCAATGCCTTGATATTTATTGTTTCTGAGATACCTGAAGCTTAATGAATAAGGTGGGTTGCAAATTTCTAAACAAATGTATTAATTAAAATGGCTCATAGCATAAGATGTAATGCAAATAAAGAAAATATTCTTACCCCCAGTTAACTCCTTCCACTGTTTCAATATCTAAGGGATCCATTGACTGAGGGAGGGCTTTGTACAGGGAGGCCAGCCTGTCCGTCAGCAGTTCACATAAGCACGTGCTTTGTGTTAAGCGTTTGGCAGCAGCTGGCTCAGGCAAACTTACTAGGAGCATGAGGCCTTCACAAGCTTTCACAGCTATTCGGCCATCCTGTCACACATGAGAAGAAGGCAAAAATAACATTTTTCTTGAGGTTCAACAGTTCAGTGCTTAGAACAGCTATTTACGTTACTTAAGCCACTATTCACTCAGCTTCCGCTCCCTGTCAACAATATGGGGAAGGAATACTAAAATAATGTACATGAAACACTCTGACCACTGTCAATCCTATATCAATAGTAATACTTATAATCATCATCCCCACTGACCCATAGTTAAGCTGCAGGTAGCTATCAGGTAGAAAATCGGACTTGCAATCCTCGGGAATATTATCAAGAACACCAGTTTGGATACCTGGAGTAAAAACACATTAACTCACAGCACAAATATTCTCTTCTCACTTATGAGGGGAATAAAACTTGCTCTAAGCACAGTATTTACTACTTGCCTTCTAGTGGAGAAACTTGGATCACTTAAACAAGGGTTGTTTGCCTTGGCTTGGATGCTGTTGTGAAGCAGGTTTTCGTCTCACTTCCCCAGTGTTGTGGTGCCTGTGAGCACCGCATTGATTTCCCCTCTCTTCCTTGAGAACTTTCCCAAACCTGCTTTGTTGGCAGCATTCCGGAAGAGAATGCAGCAAAGCTAGGGTATCACCCATATGGATGGGAAAGCCCAGATCTTTCTTTGCCCGTCCATATCTGCACCATTTAACCTGCCCCTGTCCCCCACAACAGTCATTTCCCCCAATCACCTTTTTTAAAAAATCAGCAATTAAACAGTGTTAGTAATATTCAATGTTATATCGTTTTAATACTGTACACATAAATATTAAAACAGTCTCTCAGGTTCACTGAATTCCCAGCTTTCATTTTAAAAAAGTAAATCTCAGGCAACATTGCAGATATATGCCTTCCCCCCTGATATTTCTGCAATAAATGTTGTCAGAGATTTACTTTTTTTCAAATGAAAGATGGGAATTTAGAGGACCTGATTGATTGTTATAATGATTAATTAAAAAGCCAATTATTTTAAACACCTGAAAAAATCCCCAGTGGTATGGGGGAAGGTATGACCACTGCCTCATGACTGGGACGAGGAAAATGTGGGAAAACCTGCCAAGTGGATGCCCTGCATTTTGTGTGGTTTCCCTGCACACTATCAGCAGCAGAAAAAGCACACAACCCTGTTCCCATGTGAAAAACACCTAGAATACCATGTCACAAGACCAGCGAATAAAGGCTAAATAAAACTAGACTATTCTGACATAACTAAAGACAAAACCACAGTGAACTCTACTGCAGCCATCATATGACAGCCTATTTGCTGTACATTGCTTCATTTTCATAGATACTACTTTAGAGGCAAGGCTAAGCAAGTTCCTGCATGATCCTGAGAAAGTTCCAAGCTGACTGAAGGGTCCTGTTAAAAACAGATTTACCACCTTCTTAAGAGTGGGTGGAAGAAGAAATTGCAATGGTTCAGTAGCCAAATAAAGTCATCCCCAAATGTAGAATGAAGGCCTCCCTGGTAGCTCAGATTGTAATTTTGAGTAGACTGTTATGTTTCTAAATATTAGTGATAGCAATGCACATGCACAGACCAGGGTATGGACTCCTCATTAGGCACAGAGGTTGAAGGCTCAGAGGAGGAGACAGTGAGGCATCCAACAATGCCGTAGGACACAGCAGCTGAGACACCTCCGGGAGCCTTCTTTTATATGCAGGAAGAGCCCCAAGACTCTGAATCAGCCCTGCCTTCTGATTTGGACTTGGACCCTCCACCCCAAAGCCTGCTGCTGATCCAGAGGCATCACCTCAACCAACCCCTCAAACCTCTCAGAGCCTTGAACCACCTCAGTCCCACTGCAGTACTCCCTACCCTAACCAGCCATGCCACTTTTGAGTACGGGTAGCCTGCTCCTGGATGAGAAAGGCCTATATCTCCACTTCTTTGAACCAGGTCACCGTCACTCTTTGTAGGAACAATGTTCATGCTATAGTACTACTGGCTCCAGCACCCTCCCTAGACTCCTGGATCTCAGCCTCAAGCAAGATGGGGGAGGCGGAGGGGAGGCAGAAACACATTGTGTGTTTTCTACCAAGACAGGATTTTTCCCCAAAAAAAGAAATGTCACATAAAGTGGTATTCATGCATTCAAACAGAAAAAAAAATACAAGTTGTCTACCGGTAGTATTCAAAATCCATTCTATAAACACACAAACAAAATATGAAAACGGAAGCTAACAAAATATTGTACTTTCAGTGACCTTCAGTTCCTTCCCAACTGAGAATTTCTGTTCAGTCAAGGAAAGCCTTCTGTTCTCAGTACATGCACACTTCTCCCCTCAAAATCCAAATGTCTGAAAGAGTTGAACACAACTCACTGGGCTTTTGGTGAGATTGAGTAGGGAATTCACCAAATTATAGTCTCCATGTGGATGAGCAGCCAAAGCCTCGGGGGATAAAGGGACATTTAATTCATCCAGACTTGTGGACAAGTCATCTGCCAGCTGAGGAAGGTCATTTTCTCTCTCTGCATGTTCCACTCTTGGTGTTTCTTCAAGTTGAACAGACTGTCCTGTATCTGTCATCCCAAAATCCTGGCGTTTTTGCATGTCTTCTGCGATTAAGCAGGCTTTGCTTTTTGAGGCCACTGCTTTTAGCTTGTTCTGAAAAGTGTAAGATCCGTACAGAAAAATTACATAGACAAAAAAATGATGTTTGCCCTAAAGGAGAAATATATCAAAAGGAATGCTTCCTAACTAAAGCAGTCACAAATGCAAAGAAAGTTATCTTAAATGAATGAAGAAACAGCCAAAATAAACAGGCAGATGGAGAATTGGTTCCTTGGGGCTTAAAGAACTTATCATAAAATGTGTGTTGCAATATCTTTAATGTACTGCAACTTAACCAGCATGGGGGAGATGCAGGATTTTATATTTCACAGACTGGGGAAACTTTCAATCCAAATTGGGTCTTTATACAGATCAGGTGACCAGTTGCCCATTTAATACTTGTGATTCATTAACTTTCTTTCAGCAATCTTTAAATTTTTAGCTCTCATTCACAGATCTTAGATTGTATTTCATCCATTATTACCTTGTGGTTACTTGAAATGTATATATAATAGACTTTCATGATTTAAAAAGATACTTGTACATGTTCCAGCCAAGAAAATACTAAAGTTGCTTCTGGTTATGGGCTATACAGCAATGATCAAAAAGACCAGCAATAACTCAAAGGCTGGAAGGCTTCTTTAACATGCATCCTTTAAACCAGCCTCTATGTTAGTCAGTTCAACTGGTCTGCAAATAAATGTCCTTTCCTTATTCCATCAAGTCACTGAAATAAGTGGAAGCTGCTTGATTTGTCCGATCTTCAGGACAAATGTCACATTTACTATATGAAGGCAACCTTTCGACACCAACAGATGCAACAGAAAATGTGGATTTTCAGGTCAGGACCCCAATCCATCTTATCATTGTGGTTTTGGAAATACCATTTCCGATTCCAATCTAATGTTTCTCGGCAACATGCCTCTCAGAAGAACAAAAGATGTTCTAAGAACCAGGAGTTATTCTCAGGAAATAGAGAAAAGGACAAAAAACGTAGTCATATTCCTCTACCCATGAAAGTATGTTCTAAGAACCAGGAGTTATTCTCAGGAAATGGCACAAAGGACAAAAAACGTAGTCATATTATAGCCATGAAAGCTATTACTGTGCACTTGCAATGATAACAGAATCTTATGAATCTTACAGAAGGCCTTGATTCATCTTCTTGAAGTGGGAAAATTACACTCTTGCTAATAAATCTTCTCCTTGAAGATTAAGTTAATGCATCTTCCATGGGGAGAGCAACAGGATGGCATTCATCTGTTAAACTAAGCTTGCATAAACAGGAGTTCTGCATATAAATACCACTGAGCAATGCTGTATGGTCACAGAAATTTTCTGGTTTGTTTGTTTTCCCTGCAGGAACATGCAACACTCCATGCACCAGGGAAAATGAACTTGGAGCACTTAGACATATTTAAGCCTGTCTCTACACACTAGTAATTCATGGTGTACGTTTTGGGCACAAGGGGAGAGAAGAGGGCAAAAAACAAAAGAAGAATTTGTGAGCAGAGGAGCAAGCCCAGCGTCACTGTACATCACTGCAGTTGCTCTACAATATATGCACTAAAACATCACAGTCTGTGTACATTTGTACGTTTTGGGCACAAGGGGAGAGAAGAAGGCAAAAAACAAAAGAATTTGTGAGCAGAGGAGCAAGCCCAGCGTACATCACTGCAGTTGTTCTACAATATATACACTAAAACATCACGCTCTGTGTACATTTGTATCTTGTTCTTCCATCAGGGAGTTCAAGACTGCATGCATGGTTCATCCTTGCATCATTTTATCCTTGCTACAGCCCTGTGAATTAAGTTGGGCTGAGAGAGAGGACTGGCCCAAAGTCATCCAGTGAGGGTCAGGGCCCAGTAGGGATTTAAATCCAAATCTCTCCAGTCCTAGTCCAGCACTCTAACACTACACAACACTGGTTCTCCATCTAGTTTCTATACCTGTGGCCCTGCCTGCTCCTCCTGAGGGAAACAAGGGTTTGCTCCCGACCCTGGACACGAAGTGTGTTAGGTGTAACTACCCATACGGGGCTTTCTGGCATCATATCTAAATTACACTTGTGGCTACGTGTGCAGCAGTAGCACATTAGGGCAGCATGCACCTACCACATCAGGAATTCATGGCCTGTACACTCAGCAACAGCTGCTCAATTTCAATGTGAAGCTGGCTGAATGTTAACTGTTGATGATTAAGTTTCTTTTTTTTTTTTTTTTTGTAAACAAATTTTTTTTTCTTCGGAATAAAAAATATAAAACATTTCTTCCCCTCCCTCCAATGGCTTCCCACAATGCTTCCACCCCTGCTCCAAATTACTTCATATCATCAACAATATCAGTTTTTCATCATTACAATCTAAAGATAACATCGTTTGACTTAATATTGATCTAAACATATTAAGTTTTGTTTCACATCCCAGTTCTTTTCCAGATAAATTTTAAAATCATTCCATTCTCCAAAAAACTCATCGTCTTCTTTGTTATTCAGTTTTTTTGTAATCTTATCCATTTGTGCCATGAACAGAACTTTTTGTATCCATTCTTCAACCTCTGGTACCTTTTCTGTCTTCCAAAACTGAGCATAAATCATTCTCGCTGTCACTATCAGGTACCA